ATGAGAAACCCATTGCTTTGTCATATATCTCGAGTCTATCTGTCTGTCTTATTAACTTTTCTTTACTTACAATAACTTATACACAGCTTTTTTGTGTTTATCTACCAGTATGAATTTAGAGCCAATACTGTGTTCAACGACGGAAAAGTATTATGTCTAATACTTAGTTACCTTTAGTTTGCATATACAGGTAACATTGTGGGTATCCCATTCCCCGCCCGACTGTCATGTCATTAACTATGCGTTCTGTAATTAAGACCCGGTATAGACATTAGTGACACTAGCTCTACCCTTCGTAGCTGAGACGCAAGCGAAGACAAACAGACTTTATTTATATATACGGAGGACGTTCCAATTGGGTTTCCATGTCCGTTAATTGTAACCATAGGGTTGCCTTTGACTGGTATAGCATCTAAGAGATCGTTTTAGCGATTAGACCTCCGTTGCGAAATTTGTATAAATTTTTGCAACTGTCAAATATTCTTTTCTTCTTCATCGCAGCATAATAATTTCACTGTAGAACGTATCGTAATACAAATACAAATCATTACCAAGAAGCATTTTTAGTTATTCCTCCAATCTCATTATTTACATACTGGTACTCCAATAAGTAACTTATTTAAGCTTTTACATTGCTTATAACTTGTACACACGGAACAAAAAAAATCTGTGCAAGAATATACCTACTGCAACCTGAAATTCCCCAAAATAATTTATACTTACATAGGTACGTGTTGTCACGTATATCTCTGGATTTTTTATGCGAAAAATCTGTCGCTCGATGTAGACTCTCAAGTTGGTATCTATTATATGACATCATGTAATTTTATACGGAATTTTCTGCTGCGGAAATTCTGTATAGGTATAAGGGCGAAGTTATAGTTAAGAAGCAACCCTGTCTGTTAAACTATGTCTGCTATTGGATTATTTTGAGAATATTGATTTGTCTGCCTGCACGCTGTAGTGTTGTACAAATATCAACAATTCAACATCGACCACAGAGGAGTCACTTCACTAACGAAAATAACTTTAAAATTGGACAGAAATATTTTACAAACGGAAATATGCGTTTGTGTTTGCCGCATAGAAATTAATTTTATTTTATATCTATTTTAACTATCTACCTCTATAGTCAAAAAGACTACTCGCTGCATTTGCGGCTTTATGGCGCTCCCTTTCTCACTTAAGTTTACCACCAAGTAGGAAAGAAAGCGCCATAAGAACGCCGCACGGCCGCAAATGCAGCGAGTGGTCTTCTCACCTATAGTAATAAAATTTGCATAGAAATACATTTTTGGATTCCAGTTGTTACCGATATCTACGATGATATCGAGGGATATGTTATTGACAAAATGTTTGCACATTATGAACGATAATAGTATAGAAAAACATGAGGACGTATTTTAAAACGGTATTACCTTCCGCATACTTATAAGGTCTAAGTCTAAGTTTAACTAGCTACCTTAGGGTCAAACATAGGTTCACCTGCGACCAGCGACCCTTTATAGATAAATCAGCAGAAACAGACCTTTATTCCATTCCAGCTAGACCGGAACGGAAGGTAGAGCCTTGTTATTTTCTATGCCTTAGGAAAATGCAACCTACACACACAGCAGTCAGCAATATAGCTTTGCAGAGTATTTTTTTGCTTAGTTTATAAGTTTATTTTTATTTGTTTGTAGAAAATAGAAAATACTGTTTTTCTTTTTAGTTTTGTAGGTAGGTATTGGGATTTTTATGCACTCACAGTAACCATCCCATGGTCCCAGGTTCAAATCCAGGCCAACGCTAACGAATTTTTCAAACTGCATATTTTCATTTATTTTAGTATTCAAACACAAAAGCAGTCCAGAAATACAACTCCACGTAACTATTTTGAAGCCAAGTAAAACGCGGAGCCGTCTGAAAAGTTAGCGAGTTTTTTCTCCAAAGAGCTAGAAAAAGTATAACAACAACAAAAAAGAACTTTATTCCGATGGCTTCCCAACTACCTTTGTTTTCCTGCATATTGATTCAGGAGTTGTGTAAAAAAATGGCCAACTTTTATTGAAGGCAAATTGAGAAATAACGGGAGGAAGTGGTTATTTTGCGTCAGTTGTGGAGTCGAACTTTTGTTTCCGAAATAAAACGTTAGGAATTTATTATTTTCATCGATATTTTTTGTGAGTTCGTTAGCGCTCAAAATATGTGAAGTATTTTTCATCAAACATTGTTTTATTTTAGAACAAAAGTTATACAAATCGAATAAAACCCCTATTCCTGTCAAAACGTAATTTTGAAATTAGAATACCGTCGATTCAAATTAAAAACACACACATACTCTGTTTTAGGGTCCCGCACGCTCACCTGCTCGTTACGGCTCTATTAACGTACGGAGATGGGCTGTGTATGGGATACATTAATTGCTGTCAGTCAGGCGCACAGAACAAAGATTTTGTACAAGGCAACTACAGAAACGCCATGACTTTTGCTTCATTACGTGGGTACCTTTGATGGTTATTTCACCCTTGTAAGTAAGTTAAACTAACAAAGTAATTATGAAATAGAAGTTTTATAAAAAAGTCATCATATTATTTCTATAGAATCCACTAATTTTAAAGTTTCTTGCTCGATTTCCATAATTTTTGCAACAACATCTCTCACATCCGGTAAAGAACACATAAATTAATTTCTGTTCTTAGTCAGTTGGTCAATGCAATACGAATTCGTTTACTGTGACTTGAGGGGTAAAACAAAAGCAGGGTTTTTTTCGGCAACTATTGTGTACGGAACCCTCCGTTCCGGGGTCCGCACAGAGGACGGAAAAAAGATGTAAAATGTTGCCCGCCAAATATAAATATAATGTTGCCTGAGCGGATTTTAATTCTATGGCATTATTTGGGTAGAAGTTTTTCCAGGATCGGGGAAATAAAATGTGTAGGTATCTGACTAAAACAAATGCAGAAAAGAAAAAGATAAGCTAAGCACATTTGTTCATTTTGTATATTTGTAGTGCAACAATGGAAAAATGTAAAACATATTTGTATTCAAAGTTTTACTAACTAATAATATTATAGTCTGCCCGCGATATGATGACACTGATGACATTTAAAAGCTGTCTTAGCTTTTAAATATATGACATGTGGCTGCCATCACATCACATCGCGCGCGGACAGTACCTTCTAAAGGGAAATACTGTCAAAAATGTATGATGAAAACCTGAAAGTTTAGTCGATGACGTTGTCTAGCTGTTACCAATTTGATGATATTTTGTGGCTTGGACGAAATATCTTTGACGTCAAATTCATACAATCCGCTACTTGACTGACAGGTCAAATGAGCTACTTTTTAAGACGACCGAAAACGATATTTTGTATGAAATAATAGAAATATGACGTTCCAATTCAATATTTTGGCTGGAGTCAAAACAATGACTTTTATAAAATTTTGGTGTTTATTAACTCTAACTTTTAATATTTTGGCAATGATGAATCAAGTCTGTAGTATTTTTGGAAAATTGTTTTAAGCATATAACTTTTGTATTTAATTTATGACATTGCCAAGTAGCGAATTCTAAATTCCGCAACGAAACTTTGTAATTTGACATTTCATTAAAATCTTCGAAGAGATATTATGCTCGTTGCATACATAGATAATTTTTTACTGTCTTCATAAAAGTTATTAACAAAAGTTCTGTAAGTTGATCAATTGTAAGCTTAATATAAACCTAAACTAGATAAAATCGTTGGGATAGATAATGCAAGTTTAACTTTAAATCTTTAGCACGAACAACAGTACAGTATGAATATTTGAATATACGATATAAAATTCAATATTCTAGCAAGAATCCCGTCTCAAGTATTCTTATCTGGAGATTGCAAGTGAGTGTGTGATCCACGTACCTATTTACATAAAATGCTACAATCTTTTGAATGCTAGATGCAATGGGACATATAACCTTTTGTGGTGTATACGAATTGGATACTTCGGTTTCAGAAAACTTGCAATTTTCTATCCAAGTCAGAATTTCAATTTGTGGCTTTCGGTATTAGTTGCATCATTCCTACCTCAGCTCAATCATTGCCTGCGAAATTATACAATTAGTGTATCTTTCCCAGTACCAATCTTGTCAGTGGCAATAATATAAATTTGTTTTATTAAAAGGAGTTTTAAGTTTAGACAACTTCAACATCATTCTTGCAGGTGGAATAACCATCTAAGTCCAAAGCCTTGCATGATCATATCAAAAAATTATTTTGGTTACAAAAATTGATGATCAACAAATGGGTTTTACTCAAACTATATCCAATGATTTTTTTGAAAATATAAATCTGCGGTTTTTAGGCTTTCTTCAGTGTCAGACGGCCCACTTTTATAACTAAATCGTAAAAAATCGACATTGTGACGAAACCAATGCATTCCCCAACTTTCCCACTGGATGTACCTATTATTTGCAGCTGAAATAGCTTGACCGAGTTTAAAAAGCCAGTATGTCCGGTCTGCCAGGGACACGGAGCAGTAAATCGCGCAGTGGCCGTACCCGCGCGCAGTAAACACGTCATTTGACCGTCACTGCAGTTGAGGCAGCCCTGTTGTTGTGCAACTAAAACATTTTTTGTGAATTCGTTCTTTCGACCTATCGATGCAATCGAAATGTTAACTTGATTAAACATCAATCAGCTTATTGGGCTTTTTAATGCACTCACAGAGCTATACAGGATGTAAGAGACGGTGTAACGAAAACTTTGCAGACGTGCTCAGAGTCAGACCATGAAACTGAACAACTTTCCCCGTGGAACATAATGCTGGTATAAGAAAAAAACTGATCTCCCATACAAAATTCATGATCAGCTAGCGGACTTTGTATAGGAAGTCCAAAATTATTTTTCGTTTACCACCGTATGTTCCATGGGGAAATTTGTTCAGTTTTATGGTTCGAACATGCCCGCAAAGTTTTCGTTGCACCGTCAATTACACCTTGTATTACACTCAAAACTAAAAAGAAATCGAAAAAATTTACATGCAACGACTGGGAAACGAACCCAGGTTGCATGGGACAACGGACCACCGCTCTGCCACAGAGCTATCGATGTAGTTTATTGTTCCATGTTTCCTACCAAATCACTTTAATTTGAAATTTTCCTAAAGAATATCGCCTGCAAGACTGTCTAGCTAGATGATAGATGGTAGAGTATATTTCCTTGGCAATAAATCAATTTAAATTATAATTTTCAATTCTGAAACTGTATTGACTGAGAGCAATCCAAAATGTATTCCAAACCGCAAGCTCAATTCGAGACCTCCTTCATTTCCGTTACTGGTCACCGAGTCTATTTGCAGGAGACGGACCACAGAGCATTGATGTTGCTTGCGCCGATACTAGAGACGTCTTTTAAGAAATGTGGCATTGGGTATTGACTGAGAGCAATCCAAAATTACTCCAAACTACAAGCTCCATTCGAAACCTTCTTGTTTTCCGATACTGGTTACCAAGTCTATTTGCAGAAGACCGACCACAGAGCATTGATATTGCTCGCGCCGGTACTAGAGACGCCTTTTAAGATGCAAGATCCATAGAGTAGAACGTAGGACGTGAGACGTAAGATGACATCTGTCAAACAAGTGATCGACAGCCTCTCACATGTGTAGCTTTGTCTCTTCTGTTTCACGTCTCATGTCTCAGTCTAATGTGTGGAGCTAGGGCCTAAGAAATGTGCATGTGATGACTGTCAGTGTTGGCCAAACTGATAAATACGCCTAAAAAAATTGGACCTGCATCTGTACGACTTAATCCCAGAGGCTCAAGTACGTTCGGAATGTTGGCCGAAATCAGTGCCCTTGGAGGATATCGTTAAGAGCATGGTGGCGTGAAAATCTCCCCGAACAACGACATCAACTTAAGGCATGGTGGCCATTGGTTTCAAACATGAAACCGCAGATTCATAAATGTTTTTCGCTATAAAAGGGTTCATTATACTTTTTTTTTTAAACTAACTTATGTGGCAAGTAGGCATTGGAGTGAACTACTGTAGCCCACATGTGTGACTCAACCTACCTTCATACGAATACGGTTTATGTCAAACGGCATCGCACAACGCTGCGTCGACGGATGCGTCTGTCAAAACGTTTGACATAAACTGTATTCGTATGAAAATAAGGTGGAAAATAGAACAAACGACGCACAAACGGACTTTATCGTGTGTTTCTTTCTCGCCTTAAAATAGAATAAATACGGTCAAAAATACGCCTGTCTAGGAGACGCCCAATCATTCGCAGTAGTTCCATTGGCTCAGACAATGGAACTATCGCGAACCTTCTTTTACGATCATTCGCAGTAGTTCCATTGAGTAGTTGTCTCACCTTCTCAGTGCGCATACAAGTTTCTTTGAAGAAAATGTAGGTCCTGACGAAACCTACATTTTAAGTGACAGATGTCAAACTTCAAACTCGTTTAACTCGTTAAATACGTATTTTACATCACTGGTTTCGTTGGGAAGTATGTATGTATGTATGTATGTATGTAATAACTTTATTGTACCACACAAGAAATCAATACAATATAAAACTTAAATAAACTAAAAGATTGTATAGGCACAAAGGCGGACTTATCCCATTAAGGGATCTCTACCAGTCAACCTTTGAGAAATCCAGAGGACATGGTGTGCGCAGGTAAACTATGGTACAGTTTTTAAACAATATATAGTTCATGATCAATACAGGAGATAATAAGTAGGTACATACCAAATAGACTAAACTGATACTAAATAGAATAACTTGTCGTGTTACCCAGGTTCCTAGAGGCACCGGCACTCAGGGAACCGAGGTAACCGCAGGTGTAACTTAGTAGCTAGGTAGGGTGGAGTGGTCTCGCTAGCACGAGCGTCATCGCTACTTATTTCTTGAAATTATTATCTTCTGAAATAATATCGATATTTTCTTCCCATTTACATATTCCATGACATGTTTATTTACTCCATTGACAATAATGTCAATCTCTCAACTTTGACGGCTATCTCATAGAGCCGCGTAGTTCTCTACTAAAAAGTTATTGTACTATAGCCCACTACCTCTTTCTAATTTCTGACCTCCTGGTACTTGATTCTAAATTTATCTCGCGCTGGCACTCTTTCACTCCTCCTGGAAACGAGACCTCCGAGCCCTCCGAAGCCACGGGACTGCCCTCGTCGCCTGGACAAACCACTACATCATCAGGGCGACAAACCTCCACCATCAACACTGGCAACTTGCTGGAAGACTGGCCACTGACAAATCTCAAGGTTTTGAAATTAGAAATCAGAATGAAGACTGGAACATTCTCGAACACCTAGCAAGCATATAAAAGCCCCGTCAGCTGCCAACCGGACAGTTCTTGATCAGCCACTGAAGACTTCAGCAAAAGCTCAAAAGTATGAATAGTAACAAGAAAATCTAATACAGCAAGTCTGCAACTGTGTCTGCCGAAGCGCATTACGTCGTGGTCTCCGCGCCGAAGATTCAAGTCCTCTGAACCAGTCCTCGGCCTGCGCCCTACGCTCCACAGCCGCCCTGCGAGCGCCAAGAAGACACCATGAGTGCCACGCGCTACCCTTCGAGGCCCTCTTCCGTTCCAGGAGGTCTTTTGATTGTCTGTAGTTAATAAAAGTCGTTTATATCGGAAACTATGCGTGCTAGACTATTGGTTTCTTTGGGAAAGTTGTAGGCCTTAACGAGATCTACATGACAGGTGTCAGCTGTCACACTAAAAAGTCGTTTATATCGGAAACTATGCGTGATAGGCTATTGGTTTCTTTGAGAAAGTTGTAGGCCTTAACGAGATCTACATGACAGGTGTCAGCTGTCAAACTTTAAACTCGTTTATCTCGTTAATGACAGCAAGTTAGAAAGTTTGTCAGCAAGTTAGAAAGTTTGTCAGCAAGTTAGAAAGTTTGTCAGCTGTCAAACTTTAAACTCGTTTATCTCATTAACGAGATTAACAGATTAACTGTCATTTAAAATGTAGATCTTGGCAAGACCTACAACTTTTCCGAAGAAACTAGTGGTGTAAAAAACGTATTTAACGAGGTAAACGAGTTTAAAGTTTGACAGCTGACACCTGTCATGTAGATTTCGTTAAGGCCTACAACTTTCCCAAAGAAACTAATAGTCTAGCTCGCATAGTTTCCGATATAAACGACGTTTTAGTATGACAGCTGACACCTGTCATGTAGATCTCGTTAAGGCCTACAACTTTCCCAAAGAAACCAATAGTCTAGCACGCATAGTTTCCGATAAAAACGACTATTTAGTATGACAGCTGACACCTGTAATGTAGATCTCGTTAAGGCCTACAACTTTTCCAAAGAAACTAGTTGTGTAGCGTGCATAGTTAATGAGATAAACGAGTTTAAAGTTTGACAGCTGACATCTGTCATGTAGATCTTGTTAAGGCCTACAACTTTCCCAAAGAAACCAATAGTCTAGCACGCATAGTTTCCGATATAAACGACTTTTTAGTATGACAGCTGACACCTGTCATGTAGATCTCGTTAAAGCCTACAACTTTCCCAAAGAAACCAATAGTTTGACAGCTGTCACATTAAATGTAGGTCTCGTCAAGACCTACAACTCCTTCAAAGAAACTTTTATGCGCACTGAGACATATTTGAGAAGGTGGATGCACAGACCAAATGACTACTCAATGGAACTACTGCGAATGACCGTAAACGAAGCTTCGCGATAGTTCCATTGTCAGAGCCAATGGAACTAGTGCGAAAAAAACGTTCGCAGTAGTTCCATGGAACTAATCTCAATGGAACTACTGCGAACGAAGGGAAGAATCGAATGAATGACGCCAAAACGGACGTTGCGCTTGTTTTTCGCCTAATAAGTAACTTACAAAGGAAGACCTTTCACTGCGATTTTGGATAGTAACAAAAACCCTAAAACTCATTAAAACAGCATAAACCCGGTCAAAAATACGACGAATGATGTCACAGCTCCCTCTGGTATCTCAAATATTACAAATCCCACGTTATAATTGTGAGCGATACGGTCGGCTTCGACGGCTAATATCAATGGATGGGACCCTTGGGGCCTCGAATCCTTACCGAGCTCCACTCGACATATTATAGGTAGGGTACGGTACCAAGATGTTACCACGGTTACTCGATGGTTTTACGGTTTGGATGCATTTTGGAAATACAACTTTCTGTGGAAAAATCTGAAAAAAATAAAATAAATCTGTAGAACACATCCCTTTTTTCCATATAACTACATAACGACCATGCACGATCACGTTATGGAATAAAATCAAAAGTTTAGTTTGATTCTACTAAAATTCTCATCGTAACAAGATAGTACTCACCTTTATCAATTACAGTAAATGCAATTTTCTGACAGTAAGGTACTTAAATTATAAATATCTTTTGTTTTCTCTACAAATAGTACCACTAAATTTTGCCTATGTCACCCTAATAGTATTATATAAGCTTAAGTATAATTCTGATTTGAATTAGGAATACGTCTAATAAAAAAATACGTTTCAGCCAACGTTTTAGCTCTTTTTCCGTGATAGCCAATAAAATGCAATGCTTTATTTAATTGGATAGTTGTTTCTGTATGTGAAAACTATATGTAAAATAAATATGTGAATATGTAGGTACTAACGGTTGATAGATACATATTTCATAGTTTTATACATCGTATATTCGAAGCTTTGTAAATTAACATTGAAACAGAAAAGCTCGCGAATAAAAAAGGACATTTTATTCGGCTTTAATTTTTCGTATTTTCCTTTCAGAGAACCGTGATTCTTTTGACAGCCGGACAACAAGCGTTCTGAATGGGGCCTGTCAAATAAATGCCAGACTCGGCCCTTACGTTTTACCAAAAGCTTTTATTTTATACGGCTCTTGTTCTAGAGAATACACATAGGTACCCAATTAAAAAGAGGCTACTTAAAATTTACGCAGACAGAGTTTGGCTGACGACTACTGTCGGTAGGTATATTATAAAATCTAAAATTACGCGACTGAAATATTATTATGTGGGTGAGAAAACAAAAATAAATATCTACAGGTTTGAAAAACTCTGACACCAGGGTTCGTCGGGTCGG